CAGTTGTCTTTGCATCTCTGTTCCTCAGGAGGTAATGATTGTCGCCTTAATAATTACTAGAAGAAGACTCCTTTAAGATGCTACAGATGATGGCCAAAGACTGTAATCCCCACGTTGCTAGAGGGGAAAGTTAGCAGCAGAGAAAAACAACCGTCTACATCTTGGAACATGCATAATTGAAGCTTAATACACTGAGAGGAGGAACAAACATTTTCCTCTGGCAATATTTCAGACACACATAAAATTGTCAAAAGAACAAATCTAATTTACAGGACCAGTTAAGCTGTTTGTTTATGGTACAGAATGTAATGAGGGGAACTTAGCTGGCACAGGACCACAAAGAATCAAGGCTGAAATCCGCTACAACCCACTCTTTATAGATAAGCAGTACTGGACTTTAACTGCCTCCATCCCAGAGTAGGCGGCTTGTGAATGAGAATGTGAGATGGAGAGTGACCCTCAAAGTCACTGTCACGTCTTCAAGGGAATGAATCTATACAAGCCTGTGCAGGTTATGCTAACCTGGTATTAACATACATGGAAGTGGAATTTTGAACTTTCAACTCAAAGCCCAAAAGTATTTTGCTGGTGAACATTTAGCTTTCTCAGAAGTGCATATTTAGCAACAAGAATTGCCATTACAACATGGAATTAACATCTCAGTTGTTTTCTAAGGAAATCTGATGGGTTTATTTCCAGATTATCAAACTGTCAGTATTCGTCTTTACAAAGAGTTTCTTTTGCTCTCTTCTCTTCTTCAGCCGATGGACTGTGGACCATCAATGAGAACGCCATCTGATGCCCATTTGAATGCAACTTCGGGACTCAAGAAAGGGTGGAGACCAAAATGAGAATAAATAAAAATACAGAAGAGGAATGCAATACCCTCTCAACTTACTGTGAGTGCAATGGATTAGAAAATACATGTTTTTGTACATTTTATATTTGGCACATGACACAATCCTCAAAATATGGGATGAAATAAGGCCATCAATATGTATAACTCTGTGCAGTAAGAAAATGTCAATTCCAAAACATAGGAGCTAGTATGGTATAGTGGTCTGAGAGTTAAAGACTCTGAGGAACCTGGATTCAAATCCTCATACAGCCATGGGAGCCCAGTGGATGACCTTAGGCAAGTCCAACTCCCTTAACTTAACAGGAAAGCAATGGCAAACCTCCTTTTAATAAATCCTGCCAAGAAGACCCGATGATAGGGTCACCATAAGTCCACGCCAACTTGAAGAAACGTAACTTCCAAGCCAGCTCAAAAAGCTTTTCAGTTTAAAAGTTAAACACAGAAGAGACGACAGATGGAGGAAAGGATAATGAAGGTGAGTGTAAACAAGGGAAGAGTGGATTCTATTCAGTTGCAAGTATTTTGGCTCAGTTCAGCAATGGATGAGGACTAAGGGATTGTGCCAAAGGCTTCTCGAAAGGGGCGGATTGTTATCATTATTTTTGGAAGAGCATGGCAGCATCATAAAGGTGTTCTAAGAGGAAGCTGGAGGCAGAAGGAGAAGACTTTCAGATGTTTGAATGGCAGGGACAGAGGATTCAAGGGCACAGGCACAAGGATATATTGAAATATACTGTGGTGGTGGGGAGAGACAGACCAGGAATGTCTATGAAGTTCAGAATGTGGTGTTTGCACTGGATCCAAGAATGTTAGGAAGCCAGTGCAGAAGTTTAAGAAGGGCAGCGCCATAGCATATGTGATAAGAGGTGAATGACTTTGCTAGCTGTGTTGAATGGAGAGAAAGATTGAGATGAAGGAAGGGAACACAGATGGTTGCCATTATCAAGACGGAGGATAAATATAGTGATTTTGCTACCTGTGTTTTTGCCAAGGAGGAGGAATAGTATGATATTTATTTATTCTATAACACCATGTAGAGAAAGGTAATACAACTTGGCAACAGATGGAATATGGGGTGCAGAGAGGCAGGCTTCAAAGAAGGAAGTCAAGTTTTGTGTTTGATTAACAAAGTGGATGGTGGCTGTCAATGTTAAGAGGTGCATATAAGGAGAGAAAGGCTATAAAAGAAAGGTAAGAAGTTTGTTTTGGTCTGTAGGTATCTGAGACAGAGCATCCTTGTTATTTTGTTAGTCCTTTTGACTTTGTCTAATGTGGCACTGCATAAATATCCTCTACAACTGGAACGACTGGATGAGACTTTCTGTCTGAGTGTGAATCCTGCTGAATTCATTTCACAATGGGGAGCCATGTTACAGCAAAAACCAGAGCCTTGTGGTACCCTAAACACTCACTAGTTTATCCACTGGGTGACCTTGTGCAAGTCATATGCTTTCAGCCTTGGGAAAACAATGGCAAACCTCCTGTGAACAAATCCTGCCAAGTAAACCCCATAATAGGTTCGCCTTAGAGTCACTCCCTAGATTGGAAACTACTTGAAGGCACACAACAGCAATGACAACAAGTTTTCACAGACTTCAGTCCATGTCATCAGATGCTTGAAGAGTTATTCTGACTTACAGTTGAGGGCAGTTTTTTGTATGTGTATACACATGCAAATGCTTGAAGGAACCAGGACAACAGAGAGAAAACATGCGCAGGGAGAAATAAAGTAGGCCATAGTCCTCAAAAGCTTATGCCATAATAAATGTGTTAGTTTTTAAGAAGTCACAAGACTTTGTTGCCACCCTTAAATTCAGCAGGAGTTGTTCATTAGAAAATGTGCATGTAATTATAATTATGTGTGACTTCCCCATGAAAACTCACAATGAAAATGCTGGTATGGGACACTGTATAAGATAAAAAGTACCCGCTGACCATACTGAATAGATGTTTTCTTCTAGAGTCATTGTTAGAAAGGGGGGAAAGGGGAGGAATGGGAGACCCAGTAAGAATGCATTGGAAGCCAACCCCTCACAATTTCATTGATCCTGCAAGAATTCACGACAGATGATGAAGCATAGATGGTGATGGGGTTCTTTTTGAAATGCAAAGTCTCGTTATTTTATTGACTGTAGCAAAGTCTTCGACTGCATGGATCACAAAAAGCTATGGCTTGCTCTTAGAGGTATGGTATCTGCCACAACATCTGATTATCTTGATGCATTACCTGTACTCAGGACAGGAGGCTGCTGTTAGAACAGAATATGGAGAAACAGAATGGTTTCCAATTGGCGAAGGGATTATGCAAGGCTGAATAGTATCACCCTATTTATGCAACCTGTATGCAGAAAATTCAATGCACAGGTGGACTAGATTCTGAGGCAGGAGGAATAAAGATCGGGGGAAGAAATATTAACAACGTAAAAGATGCAGACAACAGAATACTACCAGTAGAAACCAACAAGGACCTGGAGCAACTACTGAAGTTAAAGAGGAAAGGGCCAAGGTAGGCTTAATGCTAAAAATCAAGAAAACAAAAATAATGACCACAGAACCAACCATATTTAATGAATCCACTTAGGCTGTTGTCTCTAAATAATCAAGACCTACAAAATAAATAACATATCAAAAAATGTTCTTCTAAAAACAGAAGTTTCTCAGTTTAAAGTAAAGCTAGGGCCTAAGTGTTCTGTCTTACAATTAGTCACTTGTTATCATGACATTTCATTAACAGATATACTCTGAACCTTTCAACAAACTTTGCCTGATATATCAGAAAGCTCCACACCAAGAAAGGCTTGTTCCTCCTTTTTAGCTTGCCTATATTGCTTGTTTTATTGAGCTGACAGAGAGGGAGCTTCCACAAAGGAGGCAAGCTGGATGTCCTCCGCTAATTCTAACATCTATGCAACAGCCTCCTGGTGTGATGATGCAGAATGAGATGAGAAACATAATGGTGGCTTCAGATTATCATTAATGAAATTCTGTATGAACATACAGTGAAATGTACTTTGAATTCAATTTTTTTTAAAAGATGTGCTAATTAATTTAAATTGCTTTTGAAAGCTCTCGGGAAAAACCCATTTGGAACTATATATATTGCTTACCAGACCAATTGCTTACCAGACCAATGCAGAAAAATAAGATTATAAATAAACAATGCTGTATAAAACCTTGGACAGACACTGGCAAGCTACTAACATTGAGACAGGAATGAAAATTTCCTAAGCAGAAAGCTCAACTGAATTCACATGAATAGGTCAAAGTACTTGCTTTTTAATGTAAACAAAAGGAGATGATGTAATGATGGATGCAATGCCTGCTTCTGTTTGTAATAATCTCATCGTAAGATCTGATTAATGGTTTTTACTTACGGATTTCAGTCAAACTGGTTATGCAATTGCAGTGGGCCAAATGGGGTTGGCCTAGAAAATTTAATTTCTCAATAGCAACAGGTTTGGGAAGCCCCGAGCTAAGCAGGCCAATTTTGAACGGATTAGTTCATTGACAGTCCGTCAGAAAGGCATCTGTCTCTGCACCCCACATCTTTTTTTTAAAAAGGTTGTGACGTCCCTTCTGACTCTCCTGGTAAATTATGAAGATTGCTCAACGTGTCAGACATGCACTTTGCATCAAGGGATGCAAAAACCAAGAAATTGCTTGGGAAACTAATTTCCCCACGAAGCAGATGTCCAAGTGCTACATCCATTAATTCTCCATCAAAGTATATCAATTTCATGAACATCCATCCTACAAATTCCTCTGAGCAAAGACAAGGCTTTGAAAGACAATGCCCGATCAAGGCACAACCTGTCTCTCTCCTCAATGGGAGGAACTTGACATTTCTATAGCACAAGGGTGGAAAACTTGTGGTACTCCAGATGTTTCTGAACAATAATGCTCATCCTCTTTCACCATGCTGGCTAGGGCTGATGGAAGCTAGAGCCCAACTACGTCTAGGGAACCACACAGCTCAACCCCTGCTTGTGTGAAGCACTTTGCTGTTGTTGTGTGTCAAGTCATTTTCGACTTATGCTGACTCTAAGGGATTTTCTTGGCAAGATTTATTCAAAGGGGGATTTGCCTTTGCTTTCCTCTGAGATTGACAGAGAGACTTGCCCAAAGTCACCCTATTTCCATGGCTGAGAGGAGATTCGAACTCTAGTCTCCAGAGTTGTAGTCCAGTGCTCAAACCACTACACCACACTAAGTACATATTGTGACTGAAACAGCTGCCCTGGTTCATTTCTTCACTGTATGGACAGTTTCCTGTTAGTTGCCACTTCTTGGCCCTGAAGATGACTGAAATGCCTGGAATGTGACATGGATCTTGGACTGTGTACAGGAACACATTTTCACAGTTTTAGCTACTGCTTCAGCATTCAGCATGCTTTGGATACATCCCGGCCGGACTACTGAAACACGCTTTGTATGAGGCTGTGCTTGGAAGCTTAAATTGGTTTAAAATAAGGGTGGCCAGAATGACATCTGCAGCCTATTCTATGGACTGTGACATTCCAGTTTTGTACCACCTGCAACAGTTACCTGTACATTTCCAGGTACAATTCAAGGTGCTGGTCTTGTCATTACCTATAAAGCTGCAGGTGGTCTGAGGTCAGGATATTGGAAAGGGCTGTCTCTTCTAGCTGCCTTCATTGGGGAAGCCTTGCTCCTCATCCTGTTGTTACAGATGATCTCACGGACAAAGAGGTGGAACAGCACCAACTCTGTAATAACACAAAGGTGTCTTCCCGGCTCCTTCATTGTTGTTGTTTAAATGACCTGTTAAGATCTTTTCATTTCACTGGTTTGCTTCCTTAATTGCTTAATTCAGGACTTCCAACTGGCATAGAGATGTTGGGATGTCTTTATTCTATTCCGTGAAGCTCTGTTTCCAATCTCACTTGATCTTATACTACTAAAGACTGTTTTATATTGTTTTATATTTATTATCTGTTTTATCCTTCAACAGATAATAAAATATTATCTTTAAATAAATAAATACAAACTAGCGACCTCAGATGGCACAATAAAAACCAAGAGTTTTGTCTCTCACTTGTACTAGGCCGTTCAGCTTTGGACTATGGGTCTTGTCAATTATAATTACACATTGAGTTTCCTTTGTCCAGAATTCTGAAATCTGATATATTCCAAAAAACAAAACTTTTTTTTGGGGGGGGGGGGAGAGCGAGATACTGCCCCTTTTCCCTGCTGATGGTTCCATGTACACAAAATTTGTATGCACAAAATTATTTAAAATAGTGTACAAAATTATCTTCAGGCTATGTGTGTAAGGTGTGTAGGAAACATGAGAGAATTTCATGTTTAGATTTGGGTCCCAACTCCAAGATATCTCATTATGTACATATATGCAAATACAGCTATTCCAAAATCCAAATAAATAAATATCCAAACTCCCAAACATCTCTGATCCCAAGCATTTCAGATAAGGGAGACTTGGCCTGTATAACTAGTATTAATATCAAAAATCATGTTAAAGTTTCTATTTATTTAGCATCTGCCACACAGTCAGGACTGACTAAAGAGCATAGTCTCTGCTGCTATGTCTCAAGCCTTCCCCCACCTGGCATCCTGCAGATTTTGGACTACAATCCCCATCATCCCTGGCCATGGGTCATGCTGCCTGGGGCTGTGATAAAAGATGGAATGAATACACCTGGAGGATCCCAGCCTGGAGAAGGCTGCCTTCATCTCTCAATTCCAGAAGTATGGCTAGGTGACGGGGCAATTGAAGTGGAGCTGGCCATCAGATTTATGATAGTGAACTTTCAAATGCAGTTGGTACTTTTCAGGACCTCCAACTGGCATAGAGATGTTGGGATGTTAGCATGAATTGCAAGTGCAACTAGACAGGATTCTAGACAGAAGGCAACTAGTTGGTTCCCACGACAGGCAGCTACTGTTCACAACAGGCATTTTGACACACCAGCTGGACCTTGCTCTAAGGAGATTTGGAAGGACTGACTGCAAGATAATAATTTAAGCTGCAGCTTCTCTCCAGGGATGATGGCTTGCTTATTAGGGATATTGCAAGACCAAGTCAAAGAACTAGTTTACCAATACGTATAACCAGGGCTAACTCCAGTGGGGAGACCCAGTAACATGCACCAGCAAACTCTTGGTTAACAGCAGAGCTCAACAACACACCTCACCTTTATGTAAAAGGAAGCCATTTCAGCACAAACTATGTGCTTAGAAAAAGAATATTTCGTGGATTTTTAAAAATGTCTTTCACAACAGATTGCCCTTTCAAGGTGGCTTACCACAGTCAAACATACCGAGATTACCCAGAAAAACAGCAGCACATAAAACAATAAATCAGATAAGCCAATCACATTAGCTCATGTTAGAAGGCAAATAAAAATATTGAAAATGTGGGAGCAGATAGAATAGCCACAGAAAAACAGATAACTCCAGAACTGGCTGGAATAAAAGGTCTCAAGAGTCTGCCTCAAATCCAATGAGGAAGAAGCTGAATTTCTTTCAACAAAAAGGATATTCCAGAGGGATGGGGCCATCACCGATGGAACAGAGTCCATGTCAATCTTGAGGGTTTCGTGAGTACCATGGAGGGCAGATAGACAAAGGTAGTTTTGCAATTCAATTTGCAGTTTAATACGTGCACCTTAAACTTGCCTCAGAAACAAACAGGGAGCCAATATAGTCAGTCCAAAATAGTTATAATGTGATAGAGGATGTTTACTTTGTACAAACTGTTGCATCCTATGCTAATTAAATCTTCTGAAAAGTCTTGAAAGGCAGCCCTACATAGAGTGCATCGCAGTAGTCTAGTCTACTGTACTCTCAAGACTTGACCCGTTGAAGGGAACACAACCCCATCCAGGACCAATTGTATACCATGATTCAATCAACTCTACAAAAAAGCAACAACTATACCCTTTTTGGCTTGCCAGATACTTAGCATACTGCCACTGTAAAACATTTGTCCTCCAATATTTCATTCTCAGTAATTTTACTGTTGTTCATTTCACACTTGCGTTACGGACACATTTGACCTTCTCCCTTAAGGAGTTTTACGCAGGGCAATTCGGTAGAAATCTGGAAACCTCCTCAGACTTGAACTAAACAATGGCTGGAATCAACAGGCCTTTCACTTGGAAGTGAAGTGGCTTCCTGTCCCGTTCTCAGCAGCATGTTCCTTATTTGGAGAGGTAAAACATATGGATGAATTTGGAACAGGCTGATATTTCCAAACACATGACCTAACAGAAGTCAGCAGTTCAGACTTTTCCCCCCAATAGGTACTTCAAAAAGTCTTTTTTCACACCAGTATACATAAGGCAGTCTGGAAGACCTGAGAAGAGGCTCCAGGGTGACCTCAGTGTCCAACGGTATTTTGAAAACTTTGGATCGCAACCATTTATTGTTCTTGTGTGCCTTCAAGTCATTTCTGACCTATGGAGACCCTATGGTGATGCTATCACAGGGCTTTCTTGGCACGATTTGTTCAGAGAGGTTTTGCCTTTCCCTTCCTCTGAGGCTGAGAGAGTATGACCTGCCCAAACTCACCCAGTGGGCTTCCATGGCTAAGCAGGAATTCAGACCCTGGTCTTCAGAGTTTAGTTCAATGCTCAAACCACAACACCAATCTGGTTATAATAATATGGATGGGGGCTTTAAATATTTTATGCAGGATGGACTGACATATTGCCTCGATATAAGTTTAAAAAGTAAATCAAGAGGAAAAGAAGGCCAACTGAAAACATAAATCCCATCCACCAGACCTGTATCAAGTACAGTGTCCATATTAATACAAATCCAAGCAATTTTTCCTGCAAGGAGCTGGGTAAATTCTCCACCGTACAATGAAGAATATGTAAAGATATGGAACACTTTTGTTGCTGTATTTTTCTAGAGAGGTTTTCCATTTCTTAAAAGATGCCTCATTTCATAAAGTGATTAGTACTATCATGAATGGAGCCAACAGCAACTGGATAGTTTCAGGGTTGTAACTAATTTTTCAGAGAACTAGAAGTGATAACAGAAGTAAGGAAACAAGAGCCACCAAGATGTTTCAGACTACAACTCTTATTGGCCCCAATCAGTCAACTCAGCCCTGGTCAAGCATTGCGGGAGATGTAGTCCAAAACAAATGGAAGGCAACCATTTTCTCCCATGATCTGCGAAATATCCATATCAGAGTATGACCTGATAAAGGGACGTGTGTGTGTGTGTTTGGAAAAGTTCCATCCATGCAGAGTCCAACTGCAAACCACATGCAAAAGCAAATCTCTCCTTTGAGCCTTGGCCAAAATCAACATGTTCCCTTGTCAACACTCTGAACTGCATTCTGAAGTCCACAAAAGCTCACAAATTATTCAGACTAAATACCCTATGAATTTTTTGATATACTGCAGACTTATGAAGCAAAAAAGATATGTGAAGTTTTCTGTTCTGGTGGTCTGTACAGGAATCCTGACCATAACAAACATGTACTGGTTAATTTCCATCAGGAGTGGCAGATGAAACCAAACAACCAGAACTAAGACATTCCTTGCCCAACTGCTTCAGAAGTACATAGTCTCCTCTATGGTCTACGCAACCTTTCCCCTTTAAGGGCCGAGGGACTTCAGCTCCCAGAAGCCTCAGCCATGTTGGCCAATAGTCCCATGTTGGCCAATAGCTCCTGGGATTCTGGGAGCTGAAGTCCCTCGGCCCTTAAAGGGGAAAAAAGGTTGCCTACCCCTGGTCTACTCATTTCTTGACATGACAAGTTCCAAACCAATTCCAGTCATTCACATGGTCAGTTCAGCTTCAGAAATCATGGTGTATCATTAGTTGCTCAGCAAAGAGATATACCTAGTAGAGGAGGGCACTTATTTGTAAAAGGACTACACTTCAAATAGAAGTAAATGATCATAGACAGAAAGGTCTGATAACTGCCCCAGAGCAAATTCCTTTTATTTCCAACTGACAGAATATTAGCAGTAAACATGCACATCTAAAATCACTTTAAACATTTCACGTAGAGAGTCGGAGGACAAGGAGATCACTAAGACAAAGCCTTGAATAAGCAGAAGAGGATGCTGCCGAAATCCCACTTTGCATGAACACAGAACATATACGCAGAGCCAAGAAACATGGCACCAACACCCAGATGCCATAGCAAAGGTGCCAGAAAGCTGAGCCACCCCAAGAGGTCTGAGTACTTGAAGGCATGGCTGAAAAC